TTGGTTAGAGTTTTGAAAATGAATAAAGTTGTTTTAGTTGGTCTTGATGAGTACACCAGTACAGACCGGTCCTGGAGAGTCTTGGGGCGAGTCTTGACGCAGTCTTGGGACAGAGTCTTGAGTCAGCCTTGCGATAGTCTTGGGGACTTTTCCCCAGGGTGCTGTGTCTTATAGAGTGCTCGACTGACTGACTAAGACGAGAGTTGAAACGTATTTTGTTGTGTGTGTCTTATTTGACTGTAAAGTTTAAGTGACTTTCCCGATCCCGCACCTCAAGGGGATGCAATAGAGAGACGAGACGAGATTCCCCCCTGGCACATGTGGAGAACCCAGAGGAGAAGAATCCTTCCCCGTGATAGCCGCCCAAGAAGTTCAAGCGAGTGGCATCAGTTGGCCTCTGTGTTATGGGACAGCAAGAGAGTCATCATGTTTGCAAAAGTGTAAAACAATCAATGCGACAGTTAAGAGCAGCAATAAAAAGAAGAGGGGAGGAAATCTTCAAGCTGGTGTGCTGTTGCTCCAGGACACCTGTCCACACAGCACAGGTGGCAGTGGCGACAGCAACCGAATGTGGCTTTGAACTCTTACCTCACCCGTACTACCCACCTGATCTGGCACCTTCGGACTTCTGTTTCCTAAACTGACGTCCCACTTGCGTGGTCACCGCTTTGAGACTGATGATGATGTCATCCAAGCTGATGAGGGCTATCTAAAGGATCAAGATGAAACCTCCTTCGAGCAGAGAATAGGAAAACTGGAACATCGAACAAGTGCATTGAACTTAGAGGGGACTATGTTGAAAAATAGTGTATGAAATCTTCCTTCTGTAATGTTTTATGAGGAAAGTCTAGAACTGTACATGTATCTGCATCTCCGCTCTGTGTACGACCTTACCGCCTGGTACCGATTCCCGCACATACCTCTTGCCTACCAACTAATGAAGCTTATCTACGGTTGCCGAGTTTCCCAAACTTGGTAGAAACCCCAACTACATTAATAATAACTTTCTATATATAATTTGTATTCATATTTCACTAAGTAAGAATGTTTACTGTACCAAAATAAACATATTGCATTTCTAAGTTTTCCACTAAAAATGAAAAATAACAATAAATGACTGTTTCATCTTGACATGAACACGCTGTTCTTGTAGCAGACATTTGAGTTTTCATTTGATGAAACAATGACATACGCATATGGTAATGTTGATATATATATATATAACAAGCAATGCGCATGCGTGTTAGTGTTACTGTTGTATATACTGCAAACGCGATTTTAATTCATTCACAGTATGAAGTATCGAAAAACATTATTCAAAAAGTATGTTTTCGTTCATATCACGTCTTTAAAAAATATATTCAAAACATTCTATCAACATAAAAACTGTTACATTACATTAGTGCTACATTACCATTATTTATTTTGATTCAAGTCGTCTTATTTGTTTATCCACTACAAAAGAATGATTTGAAAAATAACTTGTCAATTGTGAAATTGTCAAATTAACATTTAAAACTATCTTCTTGGTAATTTGTGTTAAAGAGTTTTTGGCCGTTGGTTAATCACCATTTTAGTGGTAGAATTCTACACAAAAATAAAAACATTGTATTTTTTTATTTTGACATATATAATCAAATTAAATATATGGTGTCTCTGTACTCGGTTGGGAGAAAATAACAAATAAACTACTGTAACAGTGAAAATAGTATATTTTGGCTATTGTGTGGCATTTTACCAGTATCTATGGCAAAAATATATCTCAATACCTCAAAAAATTTTTCGTTGACATATGGTGAAATATGTTGTGTCTTACAAGGTACATTTGACAATATTCTTAGTGGGTTTTGAAGAGGAAATGTGTTTTTATTACAAACCGCTGCTAAAATGGCATAATATTTCTCAAAAAAACGATTGAATTTCTTCATTTTATAACGCTCATATAATGATTTTTTAATGATATTTTTCTCTTAACATTGTCAGAAATGTTCTAGAAATCTTAAATCTAGATAACTGTTTACATTGTCCTTAATTAGTGTTGCCTCAATAAATAATATATCAATACATTGACTTGTGTTGATGTTGTGAACGATTGGGGTAAATAATTTATTATATATATAAACAAATGCCATTACTTGATCAACTAACATGTATATATATCCACAAAATGTATATCCCAAAATGAGACTTTACCGCAAATATATGAATGCATTTGAATCAGAACCGTACCGTCATTTTATAGGCAATCATTTTGTCATATCGGCAGAGTCTTAACGAATCAAAACATTTTATTAGAATATTTCTGTACCATTTGTGATAGTAAAAATATCGAGGGCGAATACGATTACCTATCATCTGTTCAATATGCAGATTAATCTATACGGTACAACTGAAACTACAGGTACATTATCAGGTTTTGGTACTTTGGTATAATATGATGACTAAGATTTGTTAGCATCTAGGTATTTAAATGTGTGACCTTCTAAGAGTTCATTGTCACTCCATACAATGTCAAGTAAACCACTGTAAACAGCTGTTCAATAAGCCTTTGAACAAAGAACTAGTTCACGGGGTAGACTCGTGCGACATCAATCTGCATGTATTTTGTGTCGTGTGTGTGTGTGTGTGTGTGTGTGTGTGTGTGTACTTGGATTGTTATATGTTGCGAGGACAAAAATACATATATATAGCTACTTCCGAGGACATACACACCTTCCGAGGACCTTTTTCATAGTCCTCGGAAAACATAATTTATATTAATAGTTAATTCGATTATTAATA